GGCGGGAGGAGTTGGCTTTCTGGGCGCCGGGAGGAGGGAGGGAAGAGCGGCAGGGGCGGGATGTTGGCCGAGGGGTCCAGCCCCGGGACCCACGGGGAGCAGGTTGGCCCGGCAATCCTGCCGCCCCCAGCAAACACTCTGCCTCGGAGTTTGAGTTCCCCTCCTCCAAACAGTTCCCTGCTGTGCCTCTTTCTGGAGTGTACTCTGCCCATAGCAAAAGACTAGTCACGGAAACTTTTATTTTATGGTGTGGGCAGAGAAACTACTTATGTTAGCATAGCAAAGGGACAACCAGAGAATCCGCCACCACCCACCCTTGGCCTCCCAGGCGACTGAGTTGTGTAGTTGGGCGGACCCTGCGGCCCTGGAATGTCCTGCCACAGATCTAGCACCGCCTAGGCCGGAGGCCTCGCTTTGTGACAGGCTGTATTGTGAGCTGGCAGGAGGGGCATCCTGTGGTATTTTCCTAGGAGTCATCACCAGGGCTTGGCCACAGGCTTTGTTTCTTCCTGTTGGGTAGCATTATCTTCTTTCTCTACTTCTCTTTCTCAGTGTTTCACCGGATGTAGTTGAGCTGGGCCTAGCTCCTCCTGCACCTCAAGTATGGGCTTCTCAGGTTCTAGTCTGATTGTAATCCAGGTGCTCCGTTGATCCTGGTGAGGTCTGTTCCTCTTTCCCTCCTCACTCCTCACCAAACCTGTTGATGGTCACTTGAAAACAGCTTTCCGAAGAGAGTGTGAAGTGGCCCTGAAAGAACCTGAGTACCCATAAGTACACAAGCGGAGAGCCAGCTGTTCTGAGAAATCTTCCGATACTAAGTTGGTACCCGAGTTCTACAAATACAGTCGTGGAGCCTGGTTCCTCTGCTAACACAAGAGAAAAGTGGGGGCTCCATTGGGAACCTAGTGGGAATCACTGTCGCTTTCAGTGCAGCTACACTTGCCCAGAGTAAAATTTATTAAGGAGATTCCACTGAGAAAGTCTCCAGCCTAACCAAACAGAAAATCCAATTCAGGCCGGGGATTTAGCCACCCGAGTTCAGTCCTAGGGGAGGGGGGTAAACTTTAAAAGAATGTTGGTGATGGCATTTTAAAGCATTGGTCAGTCACAACTCCAAATCTGGTCCCCTTGGTTCTCAACCCACCACCCCAGCACATGCATACAGGTGTCGCTTCATTTTCAGGCTGGAAGTAGATAGCTACACCTGTGCCAGCCGTCACTCATATTTCTGTAAATGACTTAGAAGAAAGACAAGACCATCTTAAAGTTTTTGAGCATTTGTTTCCCAGAAGCACCCTGTATTAGTCTGCTTTCATGTTGCTGAACACAAGACCTACTGCCTACAACTTAAAGGAAGACGTGTTTAATGTGCCTCGTGGTTCAGGGGACTCAGTCCAAGGTCTGCTGGCTCCAAGGCAGAAACATGGTGAAAGGACATGGCAGAAGAAAGCTGCTCAGCTCAGACAGCCAGAAAGCAGGGGGAAGAGAGATGCCAGGTAGAAAGATAAGCCCTCCAAAGGCAAGCCCCCAGTCACCTGTCTCTTCCAACCAGGCTCATCTCCTAACAGTACATTTAGTCATGACCTCACCAGTGAATCAATACACTCATGACTATAGTGCCTCCGTGATGCAATCCTCTTTCAAAAGCCCACTTCTAAATATATGAGACTTTTTAGCCGGGCATGGTGGCACAAGCCTGGAATCCCAGCACTCGGGGAGGCTTAGGCAGGAGGATCGCTGTGAGTTCAAGACCAGCCTGGGCTACATAGTGAGTTCCAGGTCAATCTCAACTACGTAGTGAGACCCTGTCTCAAAAAAGCAAAAATAATAATAGTAATAATAATAAATATATGAGACTTTTGGTAGAACATTGTGGATCTAAACAAGTATCACACACACAGATTCTTTCCACTTGCCTTCCTCTGGATTGCATGGCCACAGGAAAGTACCACGGGTGTATGGGCTTAGGCTGAGTGCCTTAACGAATCACTGACAAGACAGCCAATAATTGATTACCTTTTAACAAATTAGGTGCACTTCTAGAATAGGGTAGGTTTAGATTCCCCCAGGAACATACAGGTAGGACAAAAGAAAAAACACATATCTATATAAAAACTAGATACTGTTAGGAATGGGTAATTGTGTCAGATTTCTGTTGCAGTGAAAAAAAATACCTGAGATAAACAATTTTAAAAATAGAAATAGGGGGCCAGGGATTTAGCTCAGTGGTTCCACCGCCTGCCTTGCAAGCACAAGGACCCGATTTCAATCCTGGTACCAAAAAAAAAAAAAAAATAGAAATAGGGCTGGGGGTTTAGCTCAGTGGCATGGTGCCTACCTCTCAAGTGCAACGTCCTGAGTTTGATCCCTGGTACAAAAAAAAAAAAAGGAAATAGATTTTGGCTCATGGTTTCAGTCTATAGTTATTTGGCTCCATTGTTTTTGGCCTGTGGCGAGCAGTATATCATGATGACAAAGTTTGCAACAGAGTCCCTGGAGTCTCTAGAGAGGAGCCGTATTACAGCTTCCAATTCAGGTGAGAAAGGAAGAAAGAAAACAAGGCTGCAGAATGATGCTTTCTACTAAAAAAATAAACTCAAACACATTAAAAATTTGAAGGGTTTATTTGAGCAAAGAACAACTCATGAGTCAGGCAGCATTAAGAACCAAAAGAGGTTTGAAGAGCTCTACTGGGCCAGCATGGGCATCAAGCTTGTATAAATTGAATGTGAAAGTAAGCCAAAGAAAATTATTTGATTTGTTATGTGGAGAGTGGAGAGTCCCTGGTTAGAGGTCAGTGGGTCGTTTCTGATTGATACAGTTTCTATTTTTGTTTTACTCTTTCCATTGGGCTTTGATTGGCTGATGTAGGAATGCAAAGCTCTAGAGCCATCTGAGCCTAAAGACCTCCCAGTTGAAAGGTTTTCTGTTTTTCATTTTTTGGTACCAGAGATCGAACTCCAGGCCTTGTGCCTGAACTCCAGGCCTTGTACCCGAACTCCGGTCCTTGTGCTTGCAAGGTGGGCGGCAAAACAACTGAGCTAAATCCCCAGCCCCTGAAAGGTTGTAATACCTGTAAGGCAATGTCACCTAATCTCAGTTTAAAGATGTCTATTGTATAAATAAAGCCTGTGGCCAGAATTTACTCCCAAAACACCTCAGTACAGAAAGGGAAAGTGGAAGCCTGTTGTTGCGGGTTGATTGTGTACCCCTGAAAAGATACCTTGAAGTTCTGGCCCCTACGACAAGTGAATGTGACCTTATTCTGTCTTCACAGATGTGATCAGGTGAAGGTGAGTCCTACTGTGGCAGATGGCCCCTTGTACAACATGACTGGTGTCCTCATCCGCAGAGAAGGGACACGTAGGGAGAATATGTGATAACAGAGGCAGAAATTGGAATTAAGCTGCCACAACCCGCAGGACACTTAGGGCAGCCAGAGCTGAAAGAGGCAAGGAAGCATCCTCTGCTGGAAGTTTCAGAAGAAACATGATCCTGTTAGTATGTGGATTTCCAACTTCTATCTGACCTCCAAACCATAAGAAAATAATGTTAGATTATTTTATCCCACCTAGTTGTAATTTGTTTTGGTAACCCTGGGAAATTATTACAGACAGACTCCAACATGGCTGGACAGAATTTTTCAAATTAAAATACCATATGTGTTCAGGAGAAACCATACTTTGATTTCTTTTTTGAGGAGGACTTGTAACAGAGTCTTTGATATGTGGTCCAGGCTAGTTGAACTCACTGTATAGCCCCAAGCTAGCCTTGAACTCAAGACCCTTCTGCCTTGGTCTCCCAAGAGCAGGATTATAGGTTTGTACCACCATGCCCAGCTTGGTGGAAGGAAGGAAGGAGGGGAGGGGAGGGGAGGAAAGGAATCCATTCTACCTTTCCTCCTGGCGTGTATCTGTGTAACAAAGACCTGCTCAAGGGTGGCCCTCTGTTTCCGCCTAGGCCGAAAACAGCTGGATCACCTTTTACTTTGTTTTTTCACTTTTTTTTTTTTTTTTTTTTTTTTTTTTTTTTTTTTTTTTTGTGAAAGATTTTTTTTTTTTTTTTTTTTTTTTTTTTTTTTTTTTTTTTTTTTTTTTTTTGCTTTTACTTGAAGTGAAAGCAGGAAGGAAACTTCTGAAAGAGAGAAATCTGGTTGCAATGCCTTTGATGGTATCACTCTGTTTTCTTGTTTCTTTCTTTTCTCAGTAGTAGTTTTGTTTATATTCCACGTGTAAGAGTAAACATGATGTTGGTCTTTTTGACTCGGGCATATTTTGCTTAATATGATTATCTCCAATTTCTTCTATTTAATATTCCATATGCCATGGCCCACATTTTCTTTATTTATTCATATGTTCATGGTTACATAATTGGGCCACAATAAACTTGGGCATGCAGGTATCCTGATAATATACTGACTGGTGGAAATGTAAGTCGGTAAAACTACTATAGAAATCAGAAAACTAGAAATAAGCATTGCAGTTCTCAACATCATACCCAAGGAGATGAGTGTGTGC